ACCAATGCCAAAGCATAGCCATACATTGTTTTCAGTCCTTACCAGGGGCGGACTGACAACTCATGGGGCCCCCGAGCAATAGGGGAACATGGGGCCCCTGTGTCCTTGCCCAAACTCAAAAAAGCCTCTGAAAAAGGTACCAGGGGCATCTTATGGGGCCCCCTACTGACCCCAGGCCCTCGGGCAGTGCCCGAGTTTCCAAATGGTCAGTTCGTCCCTGGTCCTTACAGTGTTAATAGTTGATAATCTGGCAAAGGCACAGCAGCAGTATTCTCAACCTGTAAAAAAGAAAAAAATTGGAGTGCAATTTAGAACATTTGTACTTGTAGACTGGACACCGCTTGTTTGAAGAGATACTTATTTGGAAAGCAAAGCAGGTTGTAATAATTCTTGATAATAACTGCCTTTTTTTAATCTACCACAGGTTTATTGGACATTAGGAACTAAACAAAAAATGAACACAAAGTACTCGCCTTGTGGAACACGCGTCAACAGGAAAAACGAACCTCCAGTGCAATCAAAGTATGAACTATCCAGGGTCCTGTTCAGAGTAGAATTTATATTTTGGATGGTCACTTAGGACCTTTATGGCTCTGCTCCACTGAGAATTTCCGCAATACCTCCTGGTATGCTTCAACACTTCCATTATCAACAGCTATGTTCCCCCAACATGCATTTAAAGGTAATCAGTATAATTACTGACCTATAATTTTTTCATACAAAGGTATTATTCCCAGAGCCCATGGGAATAATTGTAATATATTGGTATAATTGTAATTATTGTAAATACACAAGGGTCGGATGGTGTGCACGCAATAACGAAAGGTATTAAAATCCTTATCCCAGTGGCCGACATCAGGTGCAGAACAAAATACTGATATTACTAATATGTTCCTTAGGAAATGTATTTACAGCAAATTCATCACTTTATCCAGTCAGGATTGCATGTTATCTAATTTTTATCAAGAACAGTTAACAGATCAGTAAATTACTTTACAAAGGTAGTATCATCATAGATATGTGCAGAAAGGTTGTTTTTTTATACTACATTCACATTTCTACACTTTAATGTGGTACATTACAAAAATCACACTTGGGTTATCCTTTACAGGGGTATCTAATAAAACACATTTTCTATGGGAATACATGGTGGTAATGCATGTAAAAAAGCACAAAGTACTGAAAATGCACAGGTGTGAATGTAGCCTAAATCTTAGGAATAATATGGCTTGCCAAACAAATCCTGTAAGAATTTAGGATCTTGTTGCTAGGACTGTAGGAATTCAATGTTTTAATTTTCGCACTGTAGATAAGTATCTGTTCTTAGGAAGTGTTTGTCATTGTAAAAGGAATGAACTTAGATTTAGGTTAATGGTTTAATTTAGGCATAGAATTGAATAAGGGATTCATCTAGCCAATCCTGAAATTTGCAAAGCCTTACCCAATGACTTAGCCAGATCGTAGCCTTACTTTTCTCTTCTGCAACTGAGCAATTAATTTTGGCCACATCCTCACTACATGCTTTTGGTTAGAAAATGAAGGGCAGCAGCAAATACAGTTGCAAGAAAAAGTATGTGAACCCCTTGGGATTACGTGGAGTTTTGCATGAATTGGGCATAAAATGTGCTCTGAACGTCATCTAAGTCACAACAATAGAACAGTCTGCTGAACATAATACTACACAAACATTAGATGTTGCCATGGTTTAATTGCACATAACATGTAAACATTCACAGTGCAGGGAGGAAAAAGTATGTTAGGCCCTAGCTTAATGACTTCTCCCAGAGCTAATTGGAGCCAGGAGTGAGCCAACCTTGACTCCAATCAGTGTGATGATATTAGATGTGTTGCTGACAGCTGTCCTGCCCTTAAAAAACACACACCTGTTTTGGGTTTACTGGTTTCAAGAAGCACTGTCTGATGTGAACCATGCCTCGCAGAAAAGAGCTCTCAGAAGACCTACGATCAGAAGACATTTTGCATCTGTCCACCAACTGAAGCTCCGCAGAGGATGGGTGATGCAACAGGACAATGACCCAAAGCATACAAGTAATTCAACAAAACAATGGCTGCAACAGCACAGAATACGCCTTCTGGAGTGGCCCAGTCAGAGTCCGGACCTCAACCCGATTGAAATGCTGTGGCATGACCTTAAAAGAGCGATTCACACCAGACATCCCAAGAATATTGCTACACTGAAACAGTTTTGTAAAGAGGAGTGGTCCAAAATTACACCAGATCGTTGTGCAGGTCTGATCTGCAACTACAGGAAACGTTTGGTTGAGGTTATTGCTGCCAAAGGAGGGTCAACCAGTTATTAAATCCAAAGGTTCACATACTTTTTCCTCCCTGTACTGTGAATGTTTACATGTTATGTGCAATTAAACCATGGCAACATCTAATGTTTGTGTAGTATTATGTTCAGCAGACTGTGATCTTCTATTGTTGTGACTTAGATGATGTTCAGAGCACATTTTATGCCCAATTCATGCAAAACTCCACGTAATCCCAAGGGGTTCACATACTTTTTCTTGCAACTGTAGACGAGGTAATCATTCGCCTCTTTTGTTCTGCCAGCATATCCCTTGTCTAATGGCAAATGGTTAATAGACCACACTGTTGAGGAAAAGTGGTAGTTAGAGAGTTGTATTATACCATTTTACACTGCTGGGGTGCTTGTAATTGTCAGCTTTTATTCCTTTATTCAAAACCTTTATCCCATCCAACATAGAGGAAGTATAGAGTCAAAATGTATAGCCGGCAACTCGTCATACAAAGCAAAGGAATTTATTAACCACTTGCCCTCCGGAGGATTTACCCCCCTCCTGACCAGGCCATTTTTTGCGATGGAGCTGCGTTATTTTAACTGAGAAGTGCGCGGTCATGCAACGCTGCACCCAAATTAAATTTATGTCCTTTTTACCACAAATAGAGCTTTTTTTCAGTGGTATTTGATCATCTGTGCATTTTTTAATTGTATGCGCTATAAAACAAAAAAACACTGACAATTTTGAGAAAAAAAAAACAATATTTTTGACTTTTTGCTATTAAACACATCCTGTAAAAAAAAATTTTAAAAAAAGCTTATTTCGTAAATTTAGGCCAAAATGTATTCTGCTACGTCTTTGCCAAAAAACATCCCAACACGTGTAAATTAATTGGTTTGCATGAAAGTCATAGCGTTTACAAATGGCGGTATAGATACTGGAAATTTTTTGTTTTTCACTAGTAATGGTGGCAATCAGTGACTTATAGTGGGACTGCGGGACTTCGACGGGCATTCTGACACTGGAGGGAACTGGCTTGGTGTCACTGACATCCCCAGTGACACCAATACAGTGATCAGTGCTGATAAAAAGCACTGACACTGAACTAATGGCACTGGGCAGGAAAGGGTTAACATCTGGGGCGATCAAAGCATTAACGATGTGCTGTGTGCTGTTTCACTATGTTGGCTGTGTGTGTACTTCACTGTAAGCACACTGCTTTGCATGGCACTGCTATGCACAGCCATGCAAAGCAGTGTGCAGGAGCTGATAGGGGAGAGATCTGTGTTGTTTATACACAAGTCTCTCCCGCGATCACCGGGTGCTGGTGATTAATCACCGGCCAGGACCCGGTGACTGACAGTTGAGGACGCAAATAGCGGCATGGTTATGGCGCGTGTGACCCCTACCCGGAACGGCAAAATCACATATATATATACACATGATTTTGCGCACCTGGAACCGGTTAATGCAGGTGGAGTACAGATATACAGTGTCTTACATGTTTCAGCTACAAAGCCACAATCATAGTGATGGCTATGACTAGGGATTTTTTTCTCAGAGAAAAGTTGCAGGAACTCACCCTCCCTCCATTAAGCCATGCCTATCTCCACCCCCTGCCCACCCCTAGAACCTCCCCCAGGACCGCCTCTTGGCCCCCTTTGGAGAATAGGTAACCAAGAATAATTTGGGGGGGGCTATAGAAGTTACTTGTATGAAATGTGTTAATAAAAAGCAATTTAGTAAAATGCACAAAACATTAGAAATAACTAGCACCAAAGTAAGCTTAGAGGCACTTTCAGCTGATTTCAACAGACTCATATCCAGCATAGAGACAGGCCCATATCCAGCAAAGAGACAGGCCTATATCCTGCAAGAGATAGCTCCATATGCAGCAAGAGACACTCGTCATATCCAGCAAGAGACAGGCCTATATCAAGCAAAGAGACATCCCCATACCCAGCAAAGAAACAGGCCCATACCCAGCAAAAAGACAACTTCATATCTAGCAAAGAGACAGGCCCATATCCAACAAATAGACAGGTCCATATTTACCAAAGAGACATTCCCATATCCAGTAAAGAAGCCAGGCCCATATCCAGGAAGAGATATCCCCATATTCATCAAAGAGACAGGCCTATGTCCAGCAAAGGGACATCCCCATATCTAGCAAAGAGACAGGCCCAAATTCATCAAAGAGACATCCCCATATCCAGCCAAGAGCCAGGCCCATATCCAGCAAGAGATATCCCCAAATCCAGCAAAAAAATCAGGCTCATATCCAGCAAAGAGACAGGCCTATATCCAGCAAAGAGGCACCCCCCATATCCAGCAAGAGGCACCCCCCATATCCAGCAAGAAACATCCCCGATATCCAGCAAGAGACACCCCCCATATCCAGCAAGAGACATCCCCCATATCTAGCAAAGAGACAGGTCCATATCCAGCAAAGAGACAAACCCATATCCAGCAAAGAGACAAACCCATATCCAGCAAAGAAACAACCCTATATCCAGCAAAGAGATAGGCCCATATCCAGTAAAGAGACAAGCCCATATCCAGCAAGAGACATCCAGCAAATAGATAGCTAGAAAAAGAACAGAAAAAAAAAGCCCTGGCTATGACTCTGGCTTTGTAGCTGAAACGCATAAGCTGCTGTATATCTGTACTCCACCTTCATTGATATACACTGCTCAAACAAATGAAAGGAACACTTTGAATACACATCACAACTCAATAGGGAAACATTTCATGCTGGATATCTATACTGATATGGACTGGGTAATTTGTTAGGAACATAAGGATGCTCCATCGTTTGATGGAAAAATGAAAATTATCAATCTACAGAGGACTGAATTCAAGGACACCCTGAAAATAAAAGTGAAAAAATCTGCAGATAAGTGGAGCTGCCACTTTTGAGTGGAACTCAAATGCTTTAAGTCTCTCAGCACAAAGCAGCATCTGATCCACTTCCTGTGCCCTCTCATCTCTGGTTAAATGGACTTTTCTGACAGTCCTGTCAGTGATCCTCTTCCTTCCTGAGTGTCCCCCAGTCCCAGTCTTCTTCTAACTCGCTATCTGGGACCACTCATTACAGTTGGCTTCCAGGGGCATAAACTCCGCCTGCAGTCTGGGTGACCCGGGTTTTCTGTGCACAAACCAGACTGTAGACCCACATTGTAAGTATGCCCAATCGCTGGTTGTCAGCTTTATCAGTGGTTCCCCACAGTGTCCGCACTTGATCCATGCACTGACCATGGCAGTAGGCCTCCTGCAGCCGAGACATATAGGGTACAGCTTCTCCGTACCTTCAATCAACACTAGGGTGAACCCTCCTCAGTGTTCAAAGTGTACTCTGGTGTCCACCAGAGTCACTTCAGGCTTTCACAATAGCATAGGGTACATCTGTACACCATCCTCTATCTTGCACCTCTCTGTCTCACGTGTTGGGTGTGCTGGGTGGGTTTTAAGGTGCAGCCCCGCCCTGCACTGGGACTTGTTGTCACCAGCAGCATTGATGGCAAACCTGTTTCCGCACTAGCTGTAACCCCTTCACAGCCGGATCATATTGCACAAGTTCACAGGGCATTGTTTCCTGACAGTAAAGCACGAACATTTCACATTTGGTGGATGAACAGAGCTTGTAGAAACATGGCTATTAGCTCCAGCCACTGTTGGGTAACTGATTGATGTAGGTGAAAACAATGGCCCACTATAGTTGCTACGGGCAACGATTTGTAGAATCAAAGACCAGTCCTTAACTTCTGCCGTTGTTGGGTGACTAGGAGGTATTTGTAATCCACATAAAGGTGATGGCCCGATTTGGTTGTTATGAGTGGCAGCACGCATAGCGACAGTACAGTTCTCAGTGAAATTAGAAGGCTGGAGATTAGCACAGACTTTATTTTTTATTATAAATATTTTATTAATTTTCAGTATTTCACTTTACATCAATATCATCATAATATTCAAAAAGAACAATTACCTTACATACCTGTATCCCAGAAACGCTCCCCCTGTTCCCTACTCTCCCACCCTTCACCATATTCACTCCCAGTTCTTTTCCCTTTGGCTACCCGTTCCTGCTCCTTCCTAGGCACTCTCAGAATACCCTTCTTCTTCTTCCTTTCTCATCTACTGTATTCTCTATTTCTCCTACTTCAGCGAATTTATTTGCTCTTTTAATCTCATCCCATTTCTCCCACTTTCCTCTAAATCTCTCCATTCTGTCTTCTTCCATATGGTAGAGTTCCTCCATCCTGTACACATAGTCTACCCTAGTTATCCAATCTGTTATTTTTGGTACCTCCTGTTCCTACTAAAATTTAGGTATAATTCGCTTTGCTGCATTTATTAGATGGAATATCATCAAGTTCTTATATTTTTCTACTGTAGTCTCGGTTTCATGGAATAAGCATGTGCCTGGATCTTTCGGGACATTAAACCCAGTTATCTCCTGTATTTGGTAAATTATTTCTCCCCAATACTCCTGGATTTTGGAACATTCCCACCATATATGTGCTGTTGTACCCTTCGTCCCACATCCCTTCCAACACAAAGGTGATTTATCTATTTGTTGCTTATGTTCCACACTCGGTGTGATATACCACCTAGCTAAACATTTGTAGTTCAGTTCCACCACCTTCATATCTACAGCCCCATGTGCTAATCTAAATATTTTCCTTTTCTGTTGCTAGTCAAATGATATTCCAAGTTCCCTTTCCCATTTCTCCATATACGGAGGGGGAGTAGCTTCTGTTATTACAGTAAGGATTTTATAGATCCGAAAAGTACCATGTTTCCATATTTTGTTTACATTGAACAATTGTTCAAATGGATTCAGATCCATCATTAATCTGGTGGTGGTGGATACAGTATAGACTTTAACTCCAGCCACCTGTTAAGCAGCAGGAAGACATTCAAACTTCACACAGGCCCAGCATGGTTACCATGTGCGACAGCATAAATAACGGCATACTTTTGCAAAATACACAGTTCCAGAAAACAGGAAGCACAACACGTCTCCTCTCTGGCTCGTTTCCACTAATTTTTTTAGGGCTTTGGCAACCACCTTCCGATTCCTTTCTGGAGGTTGCTATGGGCAACTGCCATGCAGGTTGTCTCAAGGGAATCCCGGATGAGAAGTCCCCACATGTGGCGCTCACCCCCGAAAAAGCCGTTGAGTATCTTGTCCCCTTTTTCCTGCACAGCCAGGCAACACACAACTTCCACTCAGTCAGTAACCAGTCCATGACCTTTTTTTTTGCTGTTTTATTAGGGGACAAACAACTTGGATAGGGTTTAGGGGTATATGGGATGCCCAACTTGACTTGCAGTAATAACTCTGAAGACAAACTTCCTAATTCTGTACAAATAGTTAATATCCTGAACTTTCTACTCCAGCCAGAGTGGCACATTCTCTTCATAAATCAATAGCACAATCTTTGTGAGGAGCATCTGATCCCTCTAAGTGAAACCTCTTCAGACTCCAGCTAGGAAATGCCCTTCCACCTGGCGGTTCTTGAAGAGTATCCCGGGGAAGAGATTCCAAATAGACATGCAGCACTGTCCCAGAGAGGAATGGGTAAGTATTGCACCTAGCAGCCCTCTCTCCTGTAGTCCCCAGGGGTGTATAGGTACTCACACTGTCCTTGTATCCTGTAGCCTTGGGTAAACTGAGTTCAGGCCAGAGTCAGTTTCTTTCCTCGCTTGCAGGCTGTCCTTCCCTGATAGACTGTAAGGCAGTAGAGCTCCCTCGGTAAGCTTCCCTTCCTTCCTCCAGCCTGGAGGCCACCCTCCTTCTCCAGGGTCCACTCCTAGGCTACACAGCAGCACCTTCAGAAATCCATCTTCCACCCAACTCTCCAGCTGGCCAGGCTCTCTCTTATTTATGGGCTGGTCTTCCCATGCTGCCAGGACCTCCTGCCTGGGATTGGTCAGATTCCCATGAATATGCAGTTCCAGGTCTCCACCCCTCCACCCACTAGCTTCTAGAAGTTTCCATAGACCTCCAGAACCAAGGGAGGCAATAGAGGACCAAACTGCTGAGTCATTCAACCTAACCTGGACTTGACCCCTGCTCAGACATGCTCACTAAAATTACTGAATGAGCCATTAAATTTTCCTAACTCTCTCTAGCACCACTAGATAGTACTATATATATCAGAATTAGTGTTCCTGATTGCCACCATTCCAGTTACAATGTCCCTGATTACTGCCGCATCAGCTACAGTGTCCCTGATCACCACCACACCAGTCCCACTGTCCCTAATCACCACCACACCAGTCCCAGTGTTCCTGATCATCGCCACACCAGTCACATTGTCCCTAATCACCACCACAACAGTCCCAGTGTCTCTGATTATTGCCACACCAGTCATATTGTCCCTAATCACTACCACACCAGTTACAGTATCCCCAATCACCACCACACCAGTCCCAGTGTTCCTGATCATCGCCACACCAGTCACATTGTCCCTAATCACCACCACAACAGTCCCAGTGTCTCTGATTATTGCCACACCAGTCATATTGTCCCTAATCACTACCACACCAGTTACAGTATCCCCAATCACCACCACACCAGTTGCAGTATCCCTGATTGCTGCCACACCAGTCATATTGCCCCTAATCACTACCACACCAGTTACAGTATCCCCAATCACCACCACACCAGTGATAGTATCCCTGATCACAGCCACACTTGCCATAGTGTGATTATAATGACTTGTTCACATATACGATGCTCTCTGGAGCGATCTGTGTTTGGATCACTCTTCAGAGGGTATTTGACAGGCACTGGAGAGAATATCACCTCACCACCTGCTTTAACCCCTTGGACCCCATAAAAGCACCCCCATTCACAATGCCTTTTAGAAAGTAGTATGGGCTATTTGTTTTAAAAAGAATTGGTCATTTTGTAGATGTTTCCACTGTCCTGGTTCTCTGGTGCCTCCAAAAATGTGATATGGAGTCAGGAAACTAGATATGTAATTTATGCCCCTGGAACATCTTAAAGTGCTCCTTAAATTTTGGGCCTTTCTCTGTGATTAGGCTGTGAAAAAGTCTCACACATTTGGTATCATCATACTCTGGAGGAGTACCAGAATGTGTTTTGGAGTGTAATTCTAAGTATGCCTATGATGTGTTTTAGAAATATCTTATTTACACAACCCTGTGTAGAAAAATATATTCTCATATGCTTTCCTGCATGTTCCAAAAACTTGTGGCATAAAATTATATTTTCAAAAGACTCACTATGCCTTTCAGAAAACGTCTTGAGGTGTTTGCTTTCCAAACTGGGGTAATTTTGTGGATGCTTCCACTGTTCTGGTGCTCCAGGGCCTCCAAAAATGTGATAAGCAGTCAGGAAATTAGATTTGTACCTTACTATATACTCCTGGAACACCATACTCGGGAGGTATAGCAGAAAGTGTTTTGTGGTGTAATTGCAAGCATTCCTATTTTATGCAAAAACTATTTTTATTTAATTTCTTCATTTTCCCAAAAAATTGTGACCAAAAAATTACAACTTCAAAAACCTCACTATGGCTCATACTATATACCGTAAGCTGTCTACTTTTCATAAAGGGATCATTTGGGGTGTATCTGTGCTGTTCTGGCATTTTAGGTCCTCAAGAAATGAGGCAATCAGTACATCAGGATTGATCCATTTTCAAATATATACCCTATTTTCCGGCGTATAAGATGACTGGGCGTATAAGACGACCCCCTACTTTTCCTGCTAAAATGTAGTGTTTGGGCTATACTTGCCGTATAAGACTACCCCTCTTCCAATGCACACCAGTGGGAGGAATAGTGCCCCATCATCGGTGTCAGTGGGAGGAATAGTGCCCCATCATCGGTGTCAGTGGGAGGAATAGTGCCCCATCATTGGTGTCAGTGGGAGGAATAGTGCCCCATCATTGGTGACAGTGGGAGGAATAGTGCCCCATCATTGTATTAGTGGGAGGAATAGTGCCTCATCATTGGTATTAGTGGGAGGAATAGTGCCCCATCATTGGTATTA